TTTGATTCCCAATATAAAGGATAGGTAGGCACCTTAATTGACATATATGTAAGATACTTATTAAATGTCAATTAAGCTCAAGTCCATATTTGTTACCAAAGTTGTACTCCACGTAGGTTAATTCAACAGTATCTTGAGTTTCATCAACGTCATTATGCAATCCGAATCCAATAAACAGTCTCGAGTAATGTCACCCTTCTTTTTGGTAGTTGTAACGCCCCGATCAGTTATAATATTAGAACGGTTTCACTTGCTCGACTATAAAGTGAAACCGATAGTTTTCCGAATTTTTTTCGAGTTGTTTGAATTAAGACTAGGGCATGAATTATATGATTATACGTGAATTATGTGCATATATGTGATATTATGTGTTAAATTGCTTTATTATTTATTCATATATGTTATTATGTTCAAATTATATCGTTCGTTCATACCGATTATTTGAGATCGTGCGTTGCGCCTAGCCGCGTGCTTGCACGAGTCGACACATCTCGAACCCTAGACCCTAGTAGTCCTTGCCCATGGATCAATGACTTACTAAATGAATCTAGGTATGGCCGAGCCATTAGAAGACCAAGGACAAGTCAAGCTCGTGTGTGCCCGAGCTGCGAACCGAGCGCCTAGTAGTGCACCACACGCGCCACTCGAGCATGGGCCATAGTGCCGTGTTTTCGAACCTTCAATGAGATTAGTCCTATAATTCGTATGCGATCATGTATGCCTTGGAAATTCCATTTCTTTCACCAAGTGACGAGAGCCAAGCGAAGAGACCCGAGCGCTGTGCATGTGTTCCACCTGAGCCCTAGTCCGCGCGCGTAGGAGTTCTAAGCAATGAACCGGAACTTAGCCACTTCAATTTTTTTTACCATGAGTGGTCCGTGTATTTAGTAGGTTCATTAGGCATTTTCCTAGTCTTAAGCATGCCTTAATAGCATTAGTATAAGTTAAAGTCATTAGTCATTGTTTATGCTAATTATTTTCCATCATGGGCATGTTATTTTATTTAGTGTGTAAGGCCATGTCTCCCATGATCCCTTAGTGCAATAACTTGAATTTCTTCAGCCCTTTTGTCAGCTCACTAAGCTCGGTTATGGCATCATGTGATGCCTTGAGATGCTTCTCCATTCAAGCCTAAGAGTTAGTGCCTATCAAGCTTTGTCTCCTCACTAATTATCCTAAGTATTCACGCCCCATAAACCCTATTTAGGACTTAACTCAGCATTCTCTTGTTCCTCATTTGTCTAACAGCAAGTACTTAGTAAAGTTGTGAGAGAAATCCAGCAAATACTTGAGTTTTTCACCAAAGCCGAGAGCAAATAATACATAGCCGAGTGAAGCTATGTGTAACCCGAGTGCATTTTCAGTTGGTTCTTGAGTTCTAGCCAAGATTTTCTTCAATACTCTGCTATATAATCATCCTACATCATCCTCCTTCATCCTAGAAGAGGTTAGTGCCAGCAAACTCAAGGATACAAGCCAAAGGAAGCAAGGAGCCGCAGCTAAACTAGGATCGAGCAAGAGCCGAACACACCCACCCTCTTCCTTTGCGGTTTTTGAGATACTTTATGAGGTTGGTTTGCTACTTCCTTTTTTTGAGTTGTCATATATGAGATGAGGATGAGAATGATGTATTTTTATGCCCCATAGGTTCAGTTTTTAAGTGGTTTCAAGCATGCTTAATGTCTAAGTGCTCCAAGTTTTCTTGCATGTTCTATATGTTGAGATTTCATGCATTTTTGCCCATTCTCTGAAAAATCTGGGAATGTGCAAATTTTATGGATATTTCTTGTGGAAAAGAGGAGTTCATAGGATCAAGAATGAAGTCAATTGACCTATTATAACTCGAGTTATTGATTTTTTAAATTAGATGTGTAAATTGAACTTTTTATGCGCGAATTCAGTTGCGACTTCAAACCCGAATAACTAGAGTTATACTTAGGATAAATTATGAAATTTTTAGGACATGTTTATATATGAGTTAAGAGCATGTACACCAAATTTCATGATTTTATCATAAGAAATGAGTGAGTTATATGTGTTAGACCAAATGCATGTTGAGTTGAACTTTGATGCTTTAGAACTCCCCCAGATTAATGTGAAATTTTAAGAGGAATTTCTTGTATGAGTTGTGAGTAATGTCACCAATTTTGAGCTTCATAGGAAAAAAGTACGAATTTATAAAATTATTTGAATGCATGCGTGTAAAGTGCATTTTCATATGTTAAGTTTGAGATGTTAGTTGGATAAGCTATTAATGTTCAAATGAGTTGGAATTTGTACAGCATGTACATGGTTAAGTGAACTATTTTACTGTCATGTTTGAGAATTTTCAGAGTTATATTCGGTTTTATAAAAATCGAGAGAGTTTAGTCGATCATTTTATTCTAGTAAATGATTTAAATGAACATGCATGAACTTAAGTGACCATTCATTCATAAACATTCATTTAGCATCTGAGTTGGTCGGAAATAGTCGCCGGAGTCCGGCGAGAATGGCCGGTTGGAGACACTACAGAAAATACAAAAAAGTGGGTTTTCGAGCCTAAGTGAGAATTTTTCCGAGAACCCTATTACAGTCCAGTCTAGCCGAGAAAATCCATTCTACTTTTAAGTGTTCACATGCATCTATGTGCTTTATATGCTTTTCATGCTATATCTGCTTTGCCTGCTTAACTGTCTAAGTTTCAGTATCAGTTTTTATAAGTCGAGAAAATTTCTTAGATATATTTGCTTATATTTTGGTAGCTTAAGGAGAGTCGAGCCTCCGACAGCTACCCCAGTTTTCAGCACTTGCCAGATCATTTTAGTATACCAGGTGGGGGCCCTGCACTGGGTATTACATTGCCTATAATCTTGTACCATTTATGTGTTATGTATGTAGATTACTTTTACCCGAACGGTCCAGTTATTCCGTTCGTGGTCCAGTTTATGTTGACTCCCAATAGAGTCCCTCGCCCAGTGGATTTTGACTCCCAGTAGAATCATCTCGGGTTTCTGGGGATGCGACCCCCAGAACGTGATCACATGAGAACCGACCAGTTACTGGTAGCCTGCACAGTATAGTACAGATTTATTTATGTATATGCTGAGTTTATGATATTCGATTATACGTGTTGTTTATTTAGTGCTGGTTCTTGCGGACTCACGCCCCCGCTATTATCTTTTTAGGTGATGGAGTGCAGCCCGGAGCGTGAGCCGAGCCTGGTGGTGTGGTGGTGTCCGAGTCAGCTGGACATTTGTTTATGTTTATGTTATGTTGGCATGTATAAATAATTTCAGACTGTACCGTACTTTATTTCACGCTTCCGTACTGCCAACCCAGACTAGTATGTATGCATGCTTTATTTTCCCTTTATCCGTATTTTCCCCAATCGGAACTTATATGTTGATTTGGGTATGCACATAAGTAACAGAAAGAGAAGTAAATCAGTAAGTAAGTAGCATCCCGCAAGTTAGTAAGTTTAAACGTTTTTCGAAAACAGTATAAGTATATTTCGAAAACAACCGCGAAAATTTTACCCAGTTTTTTGTGAGTCAAAGTTATAGTAGGCGGGGTGTTACAGTAGTAGCCTCAAGCATGTTACTTAATAGTTGCTGTCCAAGTTATCATCTTTGGTGTACAAGATGTTGATACTATTATCCCACAGTTCCATAAGGGTACAGACCTTTTCACGCATGATTGGTACTATTGGATAATGGTATCAAACTAATGTCAAATGTTGATGAATCAACTGCAAGTTTACCATAACATTATTTTGCATTCCTTTCCTCGACATTGAGTAAGTATTCAAAAGATAACTAAGTCTATATAAGCGTTCTCTTGTTTGTGCTATTGCAGGCGTAATTTAGAATTGAAAGCATAATATATAATGAAGACTATTGACCTGATATCATTGTCCTAAATGAAGTTGATGTTTTGAGTTCATGTTCAACATTTCAAACATTAATTCAAAGACATTAACGACAAAAGAGAACTGTGATGTCACATCAATATTCTTCATTATGTATTATGTTTTCAATTTTAAATTATGCCTGCAATAGCACAAACAAGAGAACGGCTATACATACTTAGTTATCATCTGAATTCTTACTCAATTTCGAGGAGAGGAATGCAAAATAATGTAATGGTAAACTTGCAGTTGAGTCATCAACATTTGACATTAGTTTGATACCATTATCCAACAGTACTAGTGTTGTGTGAAAAGGTCTGTACTCTTCGGGAACTGTGGGATGATGGTATCAACATCTTGTATGCCAACGATGATAACTTGGACAGCTTCCGTTAAGTAACATGCTTGAGGCCACTAACAAAAAGAACATAGATGGTACTCGAGACTCTGTATTGGACTCAGATTGCATTATGACGTTGATGAAACTCAAGATACTGTTGAATTAACCTATGTGGAGTAAGTATTCGTAAAGTCGATCAAACTCAAGCACACGTCTTGCCAATACTGGTATGAACAAGAAAGAACTTGAACTGCGTAAAGTTGAACTGCACAAGATTAGATATGAAATTTGGCAATTTCACCGAGGATGAGGTGAATGATAGGTTATCATCTTGGGCTGGATGGTGCCGGATTACATTGATTTGGACGGTGCCATCTGGTCCCAAGATGACACCCTCTCATTCACCTCGTCCTGGAAACATGTACAAATGAATTTGTGTTAATACATGGCGTTGTCGCTCGTTTTTAACACTATGTCTTTTGATATTTTTATTAAAAAAATCAAGTGATTTATGGAAAAAAAATTAAAAGGCCCGCCGAACCGGACCCGAATCGGCCGAAAACCGACGGGCCGGTGAACCAGCGGGACAAGGCTGGTCCGATGAACTGGCGTTTAGGTTTTTCCGATTCGTTCGCGGGCCTTCTTGTTCAGGACTGGCGGCCCGCCGGGCCGATCCGGACCTTGGCCCATTGACTGGCCACGTCTAACTTACGTTAGATGATTGGGCCAAAGGAAAACTTGGCCGAGTTGCACATCCAACATGGATGTGATATTTTCATTTAGAATGCGAAGGCGGCGGACCCTGAAATTCAATTAAAAATGGGATATTTTCATTTTTTTCTCTTCATTTTTGGCTCCAGAATTTATCCCTCATTCCTCAGTTACGTGAAGCAGAGTCTGACACGATTCTTCTTCATTCTCTGCCTTCTTTGTGCTTGTTTTTTCCCCCTTATTTTTTGTTTTTCTCTCGTGGACGGAAACAATGGTGGTGGGCGTTCTTGCTCTACAAGGATCTTTTAACGAGCACATTGCCGGTACTCTTTGTTTAGCTACCCAAACCCTTTCCCAAATCTTTTGCTCTCATGTGAAATACTTTTTGCATGTGGTCGATTAATGGTTGTGTGAGTGCGTGTGTGAATTGGTGTTTGCAGCGTTGAAAAGGTTGGGAGTGAAGGGGGTGGAGGTTAGAAAGCCCGAGCAGCTGCAGGGCGTGAAGGCCCTCATCATCCCAGGCGGCGAGAGTACCACCATGGCCAAGCTCGCCGAATATCATAACCTGGTCTCCTTCGCTCTCTCTCTCTCTCTGGTTTTTCTTTTATCTGACTTTAATAAGGCACTCAATCGAGAATATGTGGATGATTTTTTTGAGTTACTATGGTTTTTCCATCGTGTCAAGTTTGGTCTAAGAATTTGCGTGCTCGTGGCCTCTCTGTGATACTTTACATGGTTTGATCTTCACCAGCATATTCGATACACTGTGATAATACTTGTTACTCGTTCATGGACGATGGTTTGTGCTGGAAAGTAATATCATCAGACTACATTTTCACAAAGTTTAGTTTTTTAGCCCTTGATGAAGCACTAAAATCAATGGTGTTCATCAATGGAGTTGTTATCATTTACACATCTCCTGGTATTGGAAATGTAATTGGATTTCATTGTATTACAACAAGGCTCTAATTTGCACAGAACGATTGATAGAAATGGAAGATCCCATTGGATGCGGGATATAAGTAAATTCCGTTATTTCACTGAGGAACAGATCTTAGGGGCTAAGAAGAGTTCCATGAAGCAATATGACATTGAAAGAATCTCTAAATTGTGTGCAAGGTTGGCCTGTAGAATATTAGATGTCAGGTTCTTAGGAAGCCCTACTCTGTGAAAATTCTCTCCATAGAAGCTTTATGATGAAGCATTTACTTCATGTTATGGCTTAAGCACTCCAAATGTAGTACTAGCTTACTAGGTATGAACATAAAAATTATAGGCATGTTCAGAGGAAGTTTATTTTAGATCTTTCATTTCTTACAATTATGAATAACTAATAGTAGTAAAACAGGTGGCCTTGATTTTAGGTTTAGAGAGTCGGGAATGACAGTTCAGGACAAAAGTTAATATGGTTCAAAGAAAATCAGTTGAAATCTTTTAGAGGGTTTCAAACTGAAAAGAAAGGCCAAAATTTTCAGTAGAACTTTGTAGCTGCCTATCCTGTCTGCTGGCTGTTTGATGACGATTTCATTTTCTCATAATACATCTTTCTGATTTTTAGGCTCTTAACTCGAAGAATCTACCCAAGGATCTATATTTCCTGTTGCTTTCGTTGGCTTGGGTTTATTTCTTTTAATCCTATAGCATACTCCTTGAATGGATGCCCAGTGTGCTTTTTCAATGGTAATTGCTCATGGTTAGAAGAAGAATGAACATCGTAAGAAGGGATATCAGCATTTACGGTCTATAAAGAAAACTTGGCCTGCAATGATTAAAACCTTTCTTTTGTATGCAGGAAATTGAGCTTGAAACTCTCAACAAGCTTGAAGTGTTCAGTTATCCACTCCTATGAAATTAACCAAATCATCAGTTGTAACTTGTCATTAATGCAATAAAATCCTCGACAGAATAGAAGATACCATTGACCCAATAACGTTAATAAATTTTTTGAAGTATGACATGCTGTCTCAGATAATGCCTTACATTTTTTAAGTTATGCTCTGTGGCATTTGAAACTGTGCATGTCATTTGGCTATGTTCATCCTCCTTTATTTTTTGGGCCACATTCAACTATCTATTTTTACGTTTCAGTTTCCTGTAAATTGTAATCCTGGCTGTCCTGTGTAATACATATGTATCAGTAGAGATGATTGTTTTCTTGCTCACTCTCTGTCTCTCTTTTCACGAGTGAAGTTTCCTGCATTGCGAGATTTTGTGAAAATGGGAAAGCCAGTATGGGGAACATGCGCTGGCCTTATTTTTCTGGCCGATAAAGCTGTAGGTGAGTATTGATTGCCATGGGCCGAGTAACTTTAACATTTTAGCCCAATTCAGTTGGTACAATTCCCTCTTGAGACTTTCCTAAATTGTGTGTCTGTTATTTTCAGTATGATCTCTTCTTTTGTGTTTGTTTTGAAATATATCTTAAATTTCTTGCAGGGCAAAAAACTGGTGGACAGGAACTAATTGGTGGCCTTAATTGTACAGTTCACCGGAATTTCTTTGGCAGTCAGGTAGGTAACATTTCTCTGGTACCAGACTAAATGAGTGTTACTATAACTCACTTGGAATGTTTTAAAACTTCTTGATGTAACTATATCATGTGCTTATGTGGTGTGTTGAGCTTGTAAGATGTAATCTAAAGAATAAAAGCGGTTGAAAGGAAATTTGAAGGGATAACATATTTTAGTTATATCGTTTTGTGATTTCATAATCAAGAGTAGAAAGAAACTTATCAAGATCTAAAAACAGTTTTAGGATCTTCCTTTTTATACTTATATCCTTTTTTGGAGATTATATTATTATAATCTCTCATAAGAAGTACTTTACGATGTCATCTGAAATCTCAAAGACTTTTATGTTTTGAGATTATGAGTTTAACCCAAGCACTCTATTGATAATAAGGGAAGGAAAAGTATCAAAAATAGCTCTTAACCCAAAGCAATACGCTGTAATGATGAGAAACACTAATATATAGGATGAGCAAATGGCGTGCGGACTTTAGTGTTCATGACTCATTAAGATCAAGCTTATTAATAATACGTTCTTTTAGTTTGTCATCCTCATTTTTGTTCCTGAAAGATTAACTTCCATAAGTTCAAAGTACACTTGTGGTTTGAGTTGACATGCTATTTATATCAGACCTTATAAAGCCTATTGTTTTATGTATACCTTGGTCTTCACTGGGGCTAAAACTTGCTTTTCGGATCTCAAGCCTGTGTGATGGACAAAAATGTATTTATTTTCAAACCAATATTTAGTACTTTTGAATATGAACTATGTGTTGATTGAAATGGAAACTTTGCCGACAAGCAAAATATTTCGTTTTATAATCATCCAGAGGCACCTTTTCACCAATAGGATGACAGATATGTGTCTCAGATCGTTAATCATTCCTTTTTCCTTTTCCCCTTATTGACTTTTGTCTACAGTTAATATTTACATTAAGGAAATGTTACCGTGTCAGATTCAAAGTTTTGTGGCGGAACTTTATGTTCCAGAGATTGTGGCTAACGAAGGAGGTCCTCCAAACTTCCATGGTGTGTTCATCCGTGCCCCTGGAATCATTGACGTAGGTTCACAAGTACAAGTGTTGGCAGAAGTTCCTGTTCCATTTGAAAAAGCTGCTAAATCAAATCCTACTGATGAAAGTTTAGAGGTTTCTATATTTCCCCATCCTATCTTTTCCGGTTTTTACAGATTCAATTTTCAGCTTTTGATGAAATTATTAGTCACATGAATCTGGTTTACTGTTCTTCTAATTGAAAGCTGGAGAATATACACTAATCTTCTATATGCACCAATCTCTAAGAAACTTAAATGCTGTGTATTCATCTCACACTTTGAGTAACATTTTAAGACCTTTCCAAATCCAAGAATTTTAAACTTCTTACTGACATACTTAGAAATCTCAAGTCCCGAGATGAGATTTGGTGGTGGTAAATAAATTGTATATCTCATGACTTTTTTAAGACTTTAAAATCTCATTTGAATGAACTGATACCTCTAGAGTTCTAAAATTTTCAGGAAGTACAGTAGGATTTTTAATATCTCAAAGTTTTAAAGTTCTGAGCGAACACCGTCTCTACATCTCTTTAGCATACCTTGACATTCATGTCTTCATCTTTTTGAATGTGACACTGTATTGTGCATGTCCGACTCGTGTAACCACTTGAGCTCTGTGTGTGCGTGTGTTTTGTGTTTATTAGTTTGTATGGTCATTTTTTGGCGCTCTTTGTTGCATGTTGTCCTTCATTATCATTTTCATTCAGTGCCAATATGCATAATAGATTCTTCATCATATATTAATAGGAACAAAATATACTATAAGAAAAAACACAGTAGGTTGGGGCACATCCAAACAATAAAAGTCAAATTTGAAAACATTGCTGTTGTCCTTGAGAGAATTGGGGTTCCCCATTGTTTTGCTTGGAATACGTCATTGTTTTGCGTGCATCTTCTGACGATCTCTCACAATGTCTGAAGGCAATAGAATGTTTAATTTTCTTTTCATTCATTTTCATTTAAAGCAAGTTTCATATGGGTTATTTTCCATGCCAAGGCAATGACTTTGTGCTTATATTGCACTAGTAAGAAAGTGGCTTGTGGTAACAAAATTATTTGTCGGGCGGCTGGGACCTGAACTAATAATCACCAGTCCAAATAAGTAAATTTTGTCTTGGTGACCTTTGAGAGAGTGAGTGCTTCCGACTTTGTGCAAATAACAAAATGGTTCATGAGTGTTACTGATCCAAGTCATCAGTAAAAGTATAGAAGGTTTAATTTTTCATGTGATACCTTGACCATTGAATTTTTTCCCCTTTTTTCCCCAACATTTTTATGATTGGACTCAGCTCCTTGCTATAAAGTGTTCGTCACTGGTTGAATTCAGAGCGGTAGGAAGGTGTCATTAATCTCTCACTTAAATGCATATGATTTATCATTTTTCACATTTGGTGTATTTGTGAAAACTCAATATGTCATTTATCGATGGCTATCACGACTCATTGTAATGGCTATTCTTTTAACAGATATTTGTTGCACCACTTTCTAACATATAGTATTTGTGAAAATATTTATGTACATGCACACAAAATAGTTTATATTATTTACTCCTATTTGAAATTTTAGGCTAAGACCTCATCCACAACAATGGAATTCTCTTAGGCTCCGTTTGTTTTGAGGGATTTGAAATCCCTTGATTTCAAAATTTTTGAAATATAATTTTTTTTACTTGCACACTTATTGAATAGATGTGTTGAAAATATTATAAATAAATTGTCTAGCTCGCACCGATAGTGTTGACTCGCGGTGGTGATGAACCTAAATGATCGAGGACGGCGTGGTCCTCAACGGTGGATTTCAAATGACTAGGTTTGAGGAGTCATTTCAAATCCTTCAAAATAATGACTAAAAGACATCTAACATGAATTTGAAGTCTTCCAAGTTCCATTATCATCCCAACCCAACATGCATGGGCATTTTTACTTGTAAATTTAAAATCTATGGATCTCAAATCCCTCAATAAATCCTCAAAACAAACAGAGCCTTATATTATTGCTTACTGCAGAAGAATAGTAATGCTCTCCCATGATCTGCACTACCTTGATGTGTCTACTAGAATCTACATGCAAAAAACATTTATATTGATCTGGCAGAATTTGGGCATAAGTGCAAATCCTGACTTGTATAAATTAGTGTATTCGTTTGGGATTTCGAGTGACATTTTGAGACTTTGAGATTTGAGACTTTTTAAGATTTTCAGATTTTAGATTTTGGAGGAATCCTGTGAAATCTTAAGTCTGGAGGTAGGATGGATTTTGAGTACGATTTCGTGTAAGGTTGTTTCTTTAGAAATCCCAAGAAATCTTAGTCTCAAATAAAGTAAAATACCTAAGGATTTTGTAAGACTTTAAAATCTCAAATGAATACCCCAATACTTTTAGAAGTCTTAAAAAGTCTAAATTAAATACACCAGAATTTCTAAAGTCTTAAAAAGTCTTTAGAATCCCAAATGAATACACTTAAAATCCTATGTTTCCAAACGATATATTTTGGGAAACTAGCTTTTTCTGAGAGTTTAGTGTTGAACAACTTCAAAATGGTTTATCCTGTATTGGTCTGCTGAGATTAAAATCCATCGTTAACTTTTCTCGACAAAATAATGTCTGGTAATTGCTCTGACCATCAAAACTAGCAGATGCTGATTATGAGCGCTGTCTGTGATTTCTTCCTGAACTCCGTAGCTAAAGAACCTCCAAATGCCAATTCATCGACTGATCACCATTATCTGGAATAATCCACAATCAAGTTACTTATGAGTTTCCCCAGTTAGTATCTCATTTTAACGCCAATTTTTCCCAGGATAATACTGAATCTGAAAAGAAGGTGATTGTTGCTGTAAAGCAAGGGAACTTGCTAGCAACTGCTTTTCATCCGGAGTTAACTGCCGACACCAGATGGTTTGCTTCCTTTTGTTTCCATTTCGAGTTTCTATTTTGTCCTTTGTTTTGTTAATTTTTTATGTGTATGTTTTTCCTTTAGGCATAGTTATTTCTTGAAGATGATAAACGAGACCAGCGAAGAAGCATCAAGCAGCACGCCCTTGTATGCCAAGGATGAGGGCATACCCGAGACATTCAAGTTTGATCTCCCAGTATTTCAACAATAACGAAGAAAGACAAAAACAGACGAGTAAGTGCATGAAAATGGATTATCAAATTTCACAGTACTTCGAAAATAGGTCAGGAGCCAACAAAAATTCTCTTCACACCAACCGCCACTCTCAGAAGCATGTCTTTTTTATGCATGGTTTTAGTAGTTTTTATTAGTTCTCTGGTTTGCAGAATATATTGTACAATGAAAAAGTGGTTTTGAGGATCAATAGATATTTACTGTTTGTGGCATTATGAAATCAGTGTCGATTCTCCCAGATATTTGCAGAATGTTTGAATCTGTTTGCAATTAGTTATAGTGTGTATTGGATGGTTTTCTCTACTGTCCAGTGTTTTGAGTTCAATTACCCTTGACAGACTCCAAAATAATTGTGAATAAGAAAATTGTTGAAATGATAAGTCTAAAGAGTGATTGTATTAGTTTGCTTCAAGATAGTCATTTGATATTCTTCCGAAGGTCGAACATTGGGACGCGTTTGGGAAGTGAACATTATTTTAAATATTGTATCGACAATCATACCGGCATCATTGTTTAATTCGTCCCTTTGTTTTGTATCAGTATTTGCAAATTGCCTGTTTAATTATAACAATGGTTTGAACTTACTGTACATGCTTTGATCAGATCGCAAAACCGTGAAGTAGAGAATATGCGACTAGATATCGAATCAAAGAAAAATGCAAGGGAATGATGAATATTCATGAATAGTTGCATTTTCTCCCTTTGTTTCAGATTTTTATTTATTAATTTGAAGTCATATTTACTGAAGTGGCCATCTTATCTAGCAAATTTGCAAATGTTATATGATGTAGAGCTGCTTATGGATAACACAACTGATATACAAATCATAATTTATTACAAAATATGAAATGTTTTATTTGTGATCTCATTTTTTTCTCCTTCCCAAAATATGAAATCTTTCATTCTTCTTCTTTTTCCCTTNCTTATTCAGTCTCATTATCTGAAAATATCATTAATCCTCGACTCAAAAAATCAGCTCAAATGAGGTGCTAATTTATGCAACGATGCATGTGACTAACATACTTGAGCATCGATTGATAAACTCGATGACAAAAAGATCATATCAAGAATAATTTTTCCATTATTCGTTAGCATCGTACATAGTCCTCCGGCCATATACTTGGCATACAAGACAATCAAAGGATACATCAAAGGGATTTAATATTTCTATAATAATTTGCCCGAACATATTTAAGCATCGAGTGATAAACTCGATGACAAAAATATCATATCAAGAGTAGTTTTTTCATTATTCTTTAGCACCGTACATAGCCCACCGGCCATATACTTGGCCATACAAGACAATTAAAGGATACATCAAAGAGGATTAAATATTTCTATAATAATTTGCCCGACAAATTTTTGTCCGAACAATAAGCTTCAACAGCTAAGCTTTTTGCAACCCCTGCACAAGGTTCACCAAAAGTATCCACTGAAACTCCAATATTGCAGCTTCTTGAACCTATGCAAGCCTGCCAAAAATGTAGAAACATTTGTTTTAAGGATGTGATGCCCAAGAACCAAAATTAAGGAGAAAACTCTAGTGTTCTTATGAATTTGAAGGAGAATTTGAAATGTTTACACTTTTACTTTATATTTTCCTCAGCTAAATGTAAGATAACACAAAGCCTCAGGAATATTTTCGCAATAACGAAATGCATCGGGAATCTGGAATTTTTCGATCCTCAAGGTTACCTTTTCAAAGTAACCCTTAAACAAAAATATTATTTTTATAAGTAGTAAAAATAGCGAAAATTCCAAAATTAAAAAACCTGCTCGACAATTGAACGGGCATTCTGGCTACTGCATTGACCATGGCTAAAACTCCCGCATTTGCCACTTGGAGTTCCATAGCTGGCAAATTTGATTCTGGATATCACTTGATCTGGAGAAGGACATCCGAGGGCCATAGTTGGTCCAAGTGTCTTCCTCGTCTCATCATCCGAAGATGTCCAAATATCAACCGGAATCGGATGAGATTCCGAAACATGTGAGCAGACTGTTTGAGTCTCTCGAGTGGCAAAAGACAGCTTTGTGGGATCCCCGCCAACTTCCTCAAACAACACTAGGATGTTGCCAGTTGGCTTAAGCCACGAACGAGGAACATGATAGCTGAAAAGAATACCTTCAGGTTNCTAGTATCTATCGGGTTACAAACAGGGATAATTACAAAAACCATACGTGATGATATGTTCAGGGTGTAAGTGAATGAGACCCACAGATGGTTTAAGATTACTAAAAAGCACATAATAGAGTTTTGATACAGTCTATGTTCACCTGCGTATGCAATAACATATCAAGAACCCCTTTACAGTAAATATAAGTAAGAATCAAACCTCAAGCTTTTTACTCTCTTTTCTGTACTAACCGAAAGAAGACGAAACAATGAAAATGATGGTAATGTCGAAAGAGGATATTTTTTTTTCTTCTCTTTTTCCTTTTGAAGTGATTTTAATATTTCTTTGGATCTTTTTGTAGTTACCATAAACTCATTTTTGGTAACTATCATTGACTCTTCAAGTTTGTCTCCTTTTTTTTTTCTTTTTTCCTGAATAAGGTGCAATTTGGACAAATATAGTTTCTTACAGCTGCTGAGATGGTTTTCCGCAATTCTTGAGACATTTGTTTGATTTAAAAACTCCCTTGTAATTGCACGGGTCAGTACATCCACTATTTGGGGAAATATAGGTGGGCCAATAACGCCCGATGCTTTGACCGTTTATCCATGCCTGACCTTTCCCCATTCCCGTCAGGTCTAAAGCGACTGGGCCGTTACCAAAGGGTGCATCAATAGTTGTCTGCATCAAAGTAGAGGACAAGGAGTTGCTTTTATCATTTTCATTTAACTTCACCACACAAGAATCTTAATTAATGGCCTCTACGGCAGAAAATTACACCAAAGAGAATAAAAAAACAAAAGAAGTGTCCAATTTTCTCTTTCGTCCACTTTTTTGAAAAGAATAATTACCATGTACCATACTAATGGTTGATTCTTAGGCAGAGTAGGCTGTGGTGCCCAAAGGGAGGAACTTCCTGTAGACAGTCCCAAGTGCTCTCCTTTTAAACCAACCTATTTAAGAGATATGAATGGAAGGGATTATTGTCTAGTTAAATTGCCCATTGAGGAAAAATGAAAAGCCGACTGTTTTTCAGAATTAGGAACTTCCACTTGAGATTGAAGTCATCAAGAGGGCTACTAGTATACCAAAATACAAACATGTTGCAATGCCTTAAAAGAGCGTACTTAATTTGGAAGGTACCAGGATCGTTTTGTAATTAAGGTAAACTCAAGGGTAACTCGTAAATATAAAGAGTTTTTGCATTAGTGACCTGGTATGTCCACTGCTGGGAAGATAGATCAATACTTGATCCATTTTGCGAGCCTCTCAACTGCACACCACTGACTCCTGCACCCTTTCTATCATAAAATGCTCCATAGTTCTGAATTTACAGACCATTTCATTAGATAAAACCTATCAGAATAGTTGGGATAAGGAATTGCATCAGACAGAAATTTATACCTGCAATCCTACTGTCACACTCAAGAGATCGATCTTGTTTTTTCCCTGTTTTAAAGTTGCCGGAACATCTATTGAGACTTTTTGGTTGTTGCTTCCTCCTTTCCCACTCCCTATACAAAAAAAGAAAACATATTTTTTTAATAGAAAGTGGTCGCAAACTTTTTTTATTTTTTTTAAAAAGGCGATCCTGAGGTTTTCTTAAAATATTTGTAATTTTTAGTATTCAAATGCCAACTCCTATAGCTAATATTGAAGTATGTAATCAAACTCTAACAGCAAGAGGGAAGGACACTTTGTCAGGCAATTTTACAACTTCATCAAAACACTCCTTTTGAACTTTATTCAATGGCAGGTATATACTCCAATCACCTGCAAGTTTCCCATTGATAAAAGCATACAGAACATGGCCTAGAGACTCCACATGGACTGTTTGGGACCCATCTGTTTTCGCTTCAAAGCTGAAACAATCAAGAAATACTAGAGCTTAATGTTTTCGTACAAAAAATAAAAAAACAAGAAATTGATCTTGGCGTCTTTCATACCTTAGAGAGTACCACAGATAGTCACTTTGATCAGCTGTGGTATTTATTTGTTCCAACAATCCAGCTCTTGAGAATGCCTTATAACTGGATATGCCTACAGGTTCATTGATCCAACTCCAACCCGAGAAGGACCCATCATCAGTAGCTGCAGTTTTGTCTTTTAAAGGTTGACGAACAAAATTTGCAGCGGTGGAAACTGAGTTAATCTGTCATTTTGCTGATATATAAGCTTAGGCAGTGACTAGTAGCAGCAAAATTATGGACTCAAGAATAAATAACCTTTAAATTCATCCAAAGATGTACAGTAGCAGCACTTTAAAGTAAATCTTACACATCAAATGTAGTAAAATAAGGTTTAGAAATTTTGGTTTATTGGGTGATTATTATTGCTTAATAGAGAAATGAGACGTGAAAACCAAAATTGAAAAACTCATGAAATTTTTCAGTAAGTGAGAAGCTAAAAGCAATATATTTATTATAATTGAGCTTGTCTTCATGCCTTTTAACTGTCTGAAATTTTAAAGCTTGAGAAAATGCATAATAAAGGTCTGTGGTGTGTACTTTTGCAGTGTTGAGTACGACATTCTTGCAGTCAGGTAAGATGCTGACAGACCAAGCCGGCAAGTTATAGGAATTCCCGTTGAAATTTACGGTTGCATCAGATCCTGTGCCCCAATTTGCAAGAAATGCAGCACATTTTCCCGAATCAGTTTTATATACCGTCGCCTGAAAAAAGGAATCATTTCAGATGAAAAGGAAAAAAAATCTCAAGCTTCTAATTGTTACGAAGTGAAGAGTAAAGAATGAAAAGGAAATACAGAAAAGAACGAGCATTCTCAAAGAGTATAATATTAAATTGGTACTATGACTTGTAAATCAACCTCGAGGAAGTTCACCAACAAAAATAAAGGGACACCAAATGCAGGTCCAGGACTCAATTTTCATCTCTGTAACAATTTTCAAATTGAATGCACTCGTTCAAGAACGATTGATGACTTCAATGCAATAAAACTGAAGTTAGCATGGAATTAGAGAATCCCTTCTCTGCAATTGTTCTGTGAAACTTTGAAAGGCGATAATGAAAATTCACGAGCCATTGTTCACTCAAAA